TTCAAGGGTGTAATTAGGAGCACAGACTTTATCTAGCTTGGAGAGCTGCCAAGTAAATATTTTCAAACACAGTGCTGACAAGGAAGGACTCGGCCAGTCTCTGAGATGCACGGACAGATCTTTACACTGCTGCAATGAACACATTATTTCCTGCAAAAGCCCCCTCCCCTTTTACTCCTCTTTTAATCCCTATGGGAGGGTAGTTTACCATCCACCTGTGGCTTTACTCTCACACTGACCCTTAGTTCATAATTGTTCTTTTCTTTGGCAGCTCTGCGCATGCACAGGCTGGGAACCGGCTCCAGCTGCTCCCTGTCTGACTCCGAAAGCAGCTGACAACTGCCAGACTGCCCTGGCCCCATCTCTGCCTCTGACACAGAGCTCTCGTCTGAACCTTCCTCAGCCTCCAGGACTGGCCCATGTTCCTCCCCAACCTCCTCACTGTCTGACTCTGCTGCCAGGTCTGCTAGCCACCGGCGGGCCCCAACACATTGATGAGGTAGCCATGTCCAGCAGTAATTAATATTTTAACTGAATTTTAACTTGTATACTTATATTTAAAATGTACAAAGTCTGAGACAACCACAGGGACTGATGCAGATCAATCTCACACATTCTGAGGGACCCACGCTAGCACAAAATATGAATGCAACCTTGACAGCTAATGTATGATAAAAGTGTCAGTTAATCCATGTATTTATAGCTTGAGAGTGTTCTCTAACCTCATCTGTCTGGGGAATAGGCTTCTTGAAATTGTGCTATGTCTCTCTCTGTTGCTTTTGAGAAAGACTATAGAAATGCTCTTTTCTTCCTCCGAATGTGGTCATATTTTTTAATGTTCAAAGACATCAGCCTTTGGTGCATTTCAGAAACCTTTTGAATCCTTATTCCAACATCCAGACCTTGAGTTTTGTGAATGGAATTTTTAAAAATATTTTATTAATTTTCTAAAATATTAAAATGTAATTATGCTATATAATTCTGTGTTAATTATGCTTTATCAAAAATGTTCATATGCCATTTTGAGATGTTTTTGACATGAGCAGCTCCATGCAAATGGATAAAGCAAATAAGTACCAACTGTCTTTTCGATTAAATGCATTTTTCAACATCATTATGCTTGGCAGGCATTCTTTTTTTTTTTTTAAGTATGGAGGAAGTTTGATTATTCTGCAATGTTCCAAACAGGTCAGCAGGATGCAAGCAAATTTTAAAATATTTTATTCTAGTGAAATGTAAGATGCTTCATTTTGCACATTTCAACAAAGCAGAGAGCAAAATGCTTGTTTCATTTGATTTGCATTAATATATTTTCTGTTGACTTCTGTTGACCTCTCTGCATATTAGGAAGCGTTCTGAATAGAAAACTTCTGAATCATCTTCATGCTGATATATTCAGAAAAAACTTCCCCTTTTACTGTAAGTAAAAGTTAACTAAACTAAAAGTTAAGTCATGCTGGAACAACAAAATGTCTCCAAAATAGAATATCTCCAATTCAGAGCTATAGGAAGCCCCGAAATCTTGGGTGGATCAAAAATTGTACTCTTTAATGTAGTCAATGGAAAGTTATTAAAATCAAGCTGCTGTAGTCACTGTGTTCAAATATTTTAACTTAATTTTAATTAATATAAATCTAATCTACCAACCAGATTCACTTTTTTTCTAATACAGCATCTGGAACATCTGTTGGAGACTCATGTGAGCCTTAGATTAGGAAAGACTCTTGGGTTATGACATGGGAGAAGCATTTTCCACACTGCTAGAAGTCCTCATGAGCTTGGGTCCAGGCCCAACTCATTTTAGCCAAAATGTCCCATTTTTATAAATGGTGCCCAATGTCAAACTGAAACAGGATGATGGAGCTTTTGTGTTTATTCCAGGTTTTTAGAGTCTTCCGTGCTGACCAGAAATTTATAGGAGTTAAATCCAGGACATCTGAAATGAAGCTCATTTGAGAAGACTGATCTAACCGGATGGGACAGGACCGCCGTCTACCAAAATATGGATACTAAATATCCAAGACTGTTGAGTTCTCTATCTTTTTAAAAGATGCATTGCTTTTGAATTTGGGGTATGCATAAGAAAGTTCATCACCTACAGACATTATCTGTCCATCTCAATGTTTCACAGTTTAAAACGCAGGCCATTTTATAAGTGACAGAGGGCAAAATGAACAAACCACAAGGTTTTTTTTTATTGCTGGTGAATTCAAACAGGCAATTTTAATTTATGGAGGAGGATACACAAACAAGCAAAAATTTAAGTGAGTTATTTCATTATTATGCATTTCAGATGCCAGTGCATCCTCCACTGCCTTTTGGTGACTATTATCAATATTATAACTGCCATCAATAATCCAGTAATAAAACATCAGTAGTTTGGTTCTTTTCCTACCACCCACCACATCTATTTGAATTCAGGAAAAAAAGAAAGAAAGAAAGAAACATAAATAAAATAAAAGTGAAAAATCTCTGGCTGCCAGTAAGTTGATTTCTTCCAGACCAGAAATGAGATTTGCACAGTCCGGCTAATAGGATAACCTGGAGAGAATTTGGCATTGAGTTAAAGGAAAGTTACCCAGTCAATGAATTATTTGATGGATGTTGAATATTCCCTGACCTGGTACCTCCAGGCATACTGCCTGGGAATTTGTCCAATGCATTTCAAACACACCAGGTTCAAGAAGATTTCTGTGTCAACAATATTAATACGTATAGCTCAGCCTAGTTTCTGGCATACAGATTTTCTGTGTTTGCGCATGGATACATTTGTGCACAATGTACCAAAGAAAATGACATCAAGTAAGTTTTGGAAGGTGCTGATGTAACAGAGGAAAATGCAACACGTTTGCAGAATGTCATAATTATTGACCCACTATGTAACAGGAGGTCATTTAGAATCAGAGTATAGTCTCCAATCCCTAAAGAACATGGAATTGTATTACAGCATTGTCAAAGGCAAGGAAATGGTATTACCAGCATAAAAATCCAACTCTTTCAGTAATTTTACTATCTTTAACCTTCATTTAGGGCATTTGTAATGCAAGAGTCAGACACGACTGAATGGATAACATCCTCCTCCTCCTCAACTTAATAACCCCTGTAGCACGATTTCATGGAGTTCAAGTGAACCAAGAATACATATCTTCAAGTAATGGCAAGACTGAACTCCTTTAGTCTTTTCCAAGGCTTCACAGATGATGGTTACCAGAAAGTGCAAATGTAGCCCATTTCCTGCCAGGTGTAAAAGAAATATGATGAACACCACGACTACCTCCTTCTTCTTTTTTTTTTTAATATAGATAGCCATCGTTGCAGGGCTAATAACAGAGATTTCTGTTCCGCATGGTCCCTCCTTTTCCTGAAACATAGTTTGGATCAGAAGCGATTAAAAATAAAAAAAGGAAGAATTATAAGAAGTTGTATATAAATTACAAAGTTTAATCCTGTTAAGTGTGTCAGGAGAATAAATACAGTAGGGTAGACCTGGGAATACTTCCACTGCTAATATTCCTGTTCATCCACTACCAGCAATAGATATCATCCGGTCTGTGGGGAAATGTAAAGAAATAAAATAATCACACTCTGAAAATACCAATCAAGTTAATATTACCTTCATTCTTAATCATGCCCACATAACATTTACTCAGGGTAGCAGCTTGCCTATTTTGTTGCTCCTAGAACAGAACTCAACCTTTCCAATAGCCATCAGGTAGGTTATGAATGGAAATCCCAGCGGTCCCTGGCAGTGGAAACTGGGGGCAGAGAGTTCTTCAAATGGTGATCCTACCCTATCAGGCAAGGAGATCCGCAATATAATAACTGCCAGGTCGTTAAAAATTAACAGTTGTTTACCAAACAACAAGACAGTCTTATTTTAAATTAAAAAAAATTGTTGCCACCACAAAAGTACAAAGCCCATTCCATCGCTGGTGCAATTCCATCTCAGTGCATTCCATTCTATGCAAATGATATCTGGACTTCTTTCTGGTCCAAGAAGCCTAGTGATAGCATATCTTCTTCTTAAAGCTATTGGATGTATTTAGTTCAAGTGACTCCCTTTCCTTTTTTCATTTCTCTTTCATTCTATGAACCTAAAGAACAGATTCTTTTGATGGCTGCAGAAAGAATCCCTTCTTGTTGCTATTTCTCCTTTAACTGCCCCTGCATATCACATATTTCTTTGGGGACATTCACTTTGGTCTCAGACTTTAGAATATTTGAAGCCCTTTTGTATTATTTTCCACTTACTTGGACCACCTTAAAGGATGATCCTTCAAAGTTCCTACAGCGAGATGCCATCAACAGTTGCTCATAAATAGCTTTATGAAGAGATACTGCCGCACTACTAATTCTGCCATTTGTACATTTGGGAACACCAGCGCTGAGAAGATCAATACAAAAAGGATTGACCACAGGTCTTTCAAAAGTCTGTCCTGCAGGATTTCAACTCCCAATGAATCCAGGCATCAAACAAAGATTTCAATGTGATGTCAGTAGTCCATATTTATAGACACTTGGATTTTTGAGACTAGAAAATTCCCCACGAAGGAAGCCAGAGAAGATTTAGATGCTGTGTAAATGGTCACAATGAAAGTTAGCAAGAATCAGCTCTGAAGGAGCCTTCCTATTGAGTTCCACCAGAAAGTGTGAGAGGAGGAGGTAGGGATGACTTGGGCCATTTGTCTCCTCCTTTTGCCTGCATATCTATAATGCAGGTTGTATAGCAATGATTGACTTTATCCAGCGAAATAGTTCTTTATTTAAAAAATAGGTACACGAGAGTGGGAAACAAACTCTCTGGTGAGTGTCACAATGGATGTTTCAAAAAGTAATATTTTTATAGAAATTCAGCAGGATGTCCAGCACCGTAATACTATACACTGTGGTGCAACTTAAAAAAAGCCTTAAGGAAAGCACACAACAGGGCAAGTTCTATTTCCACAGTAGTCTGCCACTTTGTTGGGCTGTTTCAACAGGCAATGGTTTTTCCTAGAATCTGCAGCATCTCAGGTCCCCTGGGAGGTATTGGTTTCAAGCAAGCACCTGAATGGAATATAAGCCAATCACTAAGTCAACTGGGCAAATCTGTGCCTATCTACTAATGTTATTTGAACAGTTTGAGCCAACCTTTTGTTTTTTCTAACCCAGATATAATAAAGTACTGATCACAGAACTGTTTTCTGAGTAAGTTATAAGTCAAACTATCTAGTCAACAGGTGGTTGACAATGATACTTGAAGTTTTGTTTTAAAAAAAGGAACCAAGAGAAAGAGAATAAAATTCATAGAAAACCTACTGATTCCACTTTTTCATGCACACCTCCAACCCAAGGAGGTTTGTTTATCATAAAGGAAACAGGAGTTTTGCTGTTGAGGCCATCATCCCAAGTCTGTAATGAAGGGGCGGGAGAGATTGCTTAGTCTTAGTGTAGTCTAAAGTACAATTCAGTTAGTTTTCACATGACCATTGGCCAAGGTTGCAACAGATGTGGGTACACCTGGTTCAGCATTCTCATCAAAACGCAAACGCAGGGTGTTCCTGATGACTAGCTGTTCCATGATAAATGCTGCACAGAACCATGGGATGGCATACTCCAGGGTTATGAGGCCCATGAAGTTCAAGTCAAACTGCGAATAGTCCCATGGGCAGGCATTAAACTGGTGCAGAATGAAGCCAGTTGTGAACTCCCAAAGATACGTCCATAGGGTGTAAATCAGGCAGCGCACTAGTATGTTACACTTATCCTTCAGGTACAGATACATCTTTTCTACAATGAGGATGGATGTCCCATAGATGAAGAGTGCCCATACACTGGTGACGCCTGGGAACTTCCAGTTGAAGTTGACCACAAACTCCCAAGCAGCTGTGAACATCACCTCGCAGAAGTAGCCATGAATGGCATATAGGTACCAACGGGAGAAAGCAGTCAAAGGTTCCGCAGCTGCCATCCTTCCACACAGTCCCCAGCAGGAACTCTGCAAGGAAATAAACATAGAGAGATAATGCCATTAATCTTACCAAAGCCAGATCTTGATGGATACAGTATGTATATCGTTGCAATAGATAGCCAAAATGTGTCCAGAGCCTAAAATCGCTGGCTAAGGTATAAAATAAAAACTGGAGGCAACCGGCAACAATTAGAAAATAGAAGGACTATCTGCTTTTGGTTTAAATTTAGAAATGAGCTGCATTTCAGATCTTAAAAACTTAAAAGGACTTCTGAGCAGTCCCTACAGGTATCAGTGCGTTCCTAGAAATAGCATTTTTTTCTGGGCTCCCACAGTAGGTACACAACCCTAGAAAAATGTGTATGTTTTAAGTTAAGGAAGCACTAACACTCATATATGCCTGCTCCATAGCCAAATATTTAATTTACATTTAGAAGCAAAATATAATTTAATGCTTTGCCAGCTGTATGCAGTTCATCCTCTCTGTTTTATCCTCTCTGCGGGATTCAGAATAACAACGTTTGGGCTCATACAACATATACACCCAAAACCAAACACAACATTTTTTTTTATATATATAAATTTTATTGAATTTACAATTAAAAAAATAACATAACAACATTGCATAAGAAACAGAGAGAGAAAAAGAAGAAAGAAAGAAGAGAAAGAGAGAGGAAAAAAAAAAAACGCTCGGTCTTGCGACCGAAAAAGGAGAAAAAGAAGTATAAAAGAGAGAAAAAAAACAAAGAAGCGGAAGAAAAAAGAAAATACGTTAAAAAACATTTTAAGGTTTAACATATTGATTAATCAGACTGTTTAGCCAAGAGATTTGTACAACTGTAATCCAAATAGAAAGCATCACGGACAGAGGTGGCATTCAGGAGGTTCTGACCAGTTCTGGAGAACCGGTAGTGGAAATTTTGAGTAGTTTGGAGAACCGGTAAATACCACCTGACTGGACAGTTTACAGTATCCTTCCCCTGCCACACCCACCAAACCATGCCCACAGAACCGGTAGTAAAAAATTTTTGAATCCCATCACTGTTCACAGAGGACTGGAAATGAAAGAAAGACAGGTGAAATGCCAAAGAATGGAAAAGTAGTAAAAAATGACATAAGTATCATACATGTTTTAAACTGTAAGAGAGGGCAACAAAAAATAATGGGTCAACACAGATATATTAAAATGATAATTTGGCTAGATAAATGAGGTCCATTTTTGCTCACCCTTTGCCCTTAAATACTCATACTTCCTCTCTCATTTTTCAAATTGTTATTCCAATATAATGTTTAAATGGATTTGATATCAAGAATGAGGAGGAAAAATTTACAGCAGATGACACTGAAAAAACAAAACATAGTACAGGTAACCCTTGACATACAACCACAACTGAGCCTGACATATTTGCTGCTAAGTGAGTTTTGCTCAATTTTATGACCTTCCTTGAAGCAATTAAGTGAATCACTGCAGTTTTTAAGTTAGAAACCTTCTTAAATGAATCTGGCTTCCCCATTGACTTTGCTTGTCAGAATTGCCAAAGGTGATTACATGACCCCTGGACACTGCAACCATCATAAATGAGTCAGCTGACAAATGTCTGAATTTTGATCATGTGACCATGGGAATGCTACAAAGGTTGTTAAGTGTGAAAAATGGTCATAAGTCACTTTTTTCAGTGCCGTTGTAACTTTGAATGGACACTACATGAACTGTTGTAAGTTGAGGACTACCTGTAAACACTTGGTTGCAGTGCCTTGTAGATGGCCTGGTGGAAACATGGAATCTCAATGATAAAATGGATTTAAATCAGTTCGACCAAATTAAATCCCTCCTGTCTATGCCTATGTTCATCAGCCACTATCCTCAATTTCAAACCACAATCATATGCACATAAATAGATACAGCACAAAGATTCATTTCAGGTCCAATATACTTTGTCCTTAGTGTGTTCTTGCTCAAATCAAAACGTTGTGTTAACTCCAAATAAAAATGGTTAGAGAACACCGGTAACACTGAAATACACGGAGCTCTGCTGTTGATGGAGCAACGGAGATAATTTGTCATTCCCCTGTCAGAGTCTGAATCTAAGGAGGAAGACAAACAGCTGACAGAGAGTGGGAGTGTGGCTCCAATGGCTATGGAGAAAACTGGGCAAGGGCAAAGTCCAGCTGGGCAGAGCAAGGGAGAACAAGGGAGAGGGAGTTCAGAAGAAGATCCAGGCCCACCCTCTCTTCATCCTAGGCCACACAGGGAGGAATGGAGAAGAAGAGAGCAACATGGGATGTGTGGCTTATGGGGGAGGAATGGGACCTAATTCCCTTCATTAGCCACAGCTAGGAACAGAGTTTAAAAGAAATGCATGCTGAGTGCAGAAGCTGCTGGGAGAAAACATGAGTTTATCTTGTGTTGACTTTGGTTATCTGTGTTCCTGGTGTCTTCCCAACTGTGTTGAGTTATTGCTGTGCCTTCACATCTGGAATTCTTGCTCTTGCTCTGCTGGACTAATTACCTCATTTTGCCTTGATTGGACTTATAGTTACAGTTTTTGTTGACCACGTTTTGGACTTGATTCACCCCAGTCAAAGGCTGTTCTTTGGAGAGTTCTTCTCCAGTCAGAAGGTAACCATGACATTGGGGCCAAAGTTGGAGCTAATAAAGGGTCTCCTACTGATTATCTGACTGTGTTGCCTTTGTGCCACACCCTGGGTCATCACATAATTGGAGGGCTAGGATATGAAGAATGATTTCAAGAATTGGGTATGTCTGGTCTAATGATGAGGACTGGGGGTGAAGTGATAGCAGTGCTATCCAATGCTTGAGGAACTGTCATGGAGAAGAGGGAGGAACGGGAAGTAATGAATGGAGTCTAATCAGGGAGAGAAGGAACCTAGAACTAAGGAGAAATTTCCTGAGAGCAGAGGAGAGCAGTGTAGGTGCTCCATCACTGGAGGCTTTTAAGAAGGAGTTGGACAGCCATTAGTCTGAAATGAGATAGGGATTCCCGCTTGAGCAAGGGGTTGGGCTGAAGATCTCCAAGGTCCCTTCCAACTCTGTTATTCTGTTCTGTTCTGATGGCTGAAGCGGCAGCGTCTGTAACTGTTGATGCCAACAGGGAAAGGGAATCATATGGAGGTAGAAGACATTCTGTGGCAGAAGTCTCCAAACTTGACAACTATACTGGCTGGAGAATTCTGGGAGTTGAAGTCCACAAGTCTTAAAGTTGCCAAGTTTGGGGGGGGGGGCTGTTCTACGGTATAGTGAAAAATGCCATATTGTCAATGGCAGCTGGGGTGGTCTTCCCAATTCCAGCCTAGCCCTCTAGCTACTGCATCATACCAACTAACTCCATCTGTGGGAGCCAAGGATTATCTGACCATCAAGTGACCTGCTGTGGCCTTTCATCAGGCTGCAGAGCAGAGAGAGGGAGAGAGAGAGATCTAGGAGGCAAGGCCATAGTGTCGGCATTGCTGAGGGGCCAATGCTGTGAGCTTCTCCTCTACCTGGGCTGTTCCTGCCCCAGTAGTTTTATTAGGATTTTGTATCAGTTGCTGGGTCCAGATTTACTGTTTTCATCCTCTCTCACGCTTCTTTTTCTTTTCTCCTTTTGCATCTCTCAGGTTACAAATTTAAAAAACGAGGATTATTATTATTTTTAATTCATTCTGGAAAACCACTCGGAAAGCTTTTACAGCAAAGAACAGGGCTGAAATGTTTTGCCCAAATAGACTTGTATTTTACGTCAGACGCTTCTGTGAGAGAAAACAAGGCTTCCATCCCCCCAGGGAAACCTGTCCTTCCAGGAAGATGAGATATAGCAGGGCTGCTGCTGGGAAGAAAGAAGAGGAACGGAGCCAGGAATACTAGCTTAATGACCTGCTGGATTAAAATATTCACTTAGGTATTTATTTTTGTCAGTTGTGCTAGGTCCTCTTCATTTTACCTCAGGGGCATTTCCATGTGTTACATCTATGGGGCATGCTTAAATAGAAAGGCAATGATAGTACCTACTTGGCATCAAAGGGTCCTCCATCTCAGATTAAGATGATGCTGTTGACATTCTGCTTTTGCCTGTTCTATAATAATAATTTAAAAAAATCAGCCCCCCCAAAGAGACATGTTCAGGCCAGAAATCCAACTTTAGGCCTCCTGAATGTGGCACATTATCCCCTGCTCCTAGGCTGGATCTTACCCAGCCTTTTTAAGTCTTGTGAAGTTGTCACTGATGAAGTCATAAAAGAATTTTGCTGACCTGGGAATAAAGTAAGTAAGAGCATATTTAAAAGTGATAGTGCGGGAGGCAGTGTTTATATCTTCATGCCCAGCTGTGCCAAAAGATATATAAGTTCTCAGTGACTTTTATGACATTCAGGAGAAGCCATGGCATGCTGTTCTACTCCACCAGTAAGGTTCTTTCCCGCTCCCCTCTGTTCAACAGGCTGCTGCACAAATATTGCAAAACTCTTCTTGAAAATATGCAGCTGGGACAAATGATGTGTATAATACAAAAAATGCAAAATATGAACCAAAATGGAGATGGGAAAAATACCAAAGGCTAATTGGAATTATGAGATTAGGTAGCCCAACACATCTAGAGAGTTCCATGTGGAAGTAGGATGTTATAGAATATGTTCAAAATGTTTTTCTACTTATCAAAACTCCACAGCAATATGTATGTGGTTTAAAACAAGTTTACAGTAATAGAATAACATCTTTGAAGAAAAATAACAGAAGGCGTGGAACCTTTTTTGTAACCAGTGTGAAAGCAAGACTAATGCCATAAACAGCAGAGCAAAATATTGCAGATTCTATTGCCTATTAAACATTCAGTCAACTGGTGCCAACCCAACCTCACAAGGCTTTCCACCTAGCACCTGCTACAAAATAGAGAAAGAAGTAACAAGACACACAACACACAACACAAAAGAAGTAGTCTCTCACACACAAATCAACTTATATTTTTTGTGTGAGGGGATAAATCATAGGTCCTTTGATGAAGAATGCAAATTGCTGAAGGAGGCACTTTAGA